ATTGTGAATACCGACATTTGGATGTAAGTACTCAGTTGACGAGTCTGAAGTATGATGATACGCACGCCGTGAATACAGCTGTTAGATATATATTTATTACATTAATCGGTGAAATAAGTAACTAAATAATAAATACATCATCAGATAGACTAGAAACCATGGAAAACACGTATTCCGTATTCGATATCGTTTGTAAGATGAAATCTAATCAATCAAAAAGTTCGTTAGATATACACAATTAAGCCGAATTCGATACATCACCTTGGAAATTTTAACTCTCATTCTTTAATCACAATTACTCTATAATACGCAAAGGTCATAATCAGATTAATTGAAGGGCATATACTAAGGTTTATTGAAGCCTTAGCCATACAAAAATTTAACACCCATTTGTATATTCAAAAACAGTTTGTTCTCACCTTAAACCTACCCTGATAATATTAATCTGTTAGCCAGAGTGATGAGTTTTCACATAGTTTTTTATATTATTCACCTTATTGTCTTTGTCTTCTCTTACCCTCCATTTCTAGTCTAGTTGACTTTTGTTTGTTATGTATAACAGCTCTTAACAAGTATTAGTCTGATCAAATTGTTCGAAATATATTGTGTTAATATATCACATGGTTCTAATAATCTTCATCTTCTTATTAAACTATCCAAATGTATCAAAGGGGCTAATTGCTTTAAATTGAAAAATAACCAGAATTCCTGAATACCATACCCTTATTTGACATGAAAACAATGAGAATAACTCTAGTACCATGTCACATTATCTTAATATAAATTTTATATATATATAAAAATATATTATAGCAGCATTGACTCTAATCATTCATTCGGGTACTTGGTTTTTTTCAAGTCATCAATTAATCAATAATGATCCTCATTTATATTGACCTTCATTTGATCTACTTAAAACATATCAACAAAATCTCTCATCTTCTAGTTGAATCCTTAACCTTTAATCCATAATAAGAATATCTAAAGACTTTTAACTAATTTGATGATTCAACTACGAACTATATTCTATAATTTCTACTCATTATACACATTCATATACTAACTTACATAACCTGTTCATTACATTAATTACCTCATCTACATATATATGTACCTTAGTGAAACATTAAAATAAAATGTAACCGATGAAAAGAGAATTTGATTTCCCAAGAGATTTATTGTATTTGATTTATTATATTGAATTATATTGTTTAATAATATAAACTTTATATTTACATGATTTATTATCATTTACTATGTGTACATTTGGTTTGTTAACACAAACATTCAGTTAAAACCATCATACATTATGAATACTAAGTATCCATTAAAGTATCTAGTTCGATTATTCATTTACAACAGTATATAGAATATAAAATGAAGTAGTGGTTTAGCAACAACAACAACAACACCACCACCACCGCCAACAACAACAAACGAACAAACAACATTGTAACTTATCCATTCATACATGTCACTAACTAATTAACTAACTAACTATTAGTGATTAGAATATTACTTTTTTCAATAAATAAATCAACATAACTAGTAAACAAAACATGAATTGGTATCTGAATGAAATAGAAATTTCATTTCCTCTGGGGTATTTATTTTAAGCTATTTAAATTGCTTTGGTCTTTTTTTTTTACAAATGTTTAGCATATTTATTAATAAAAGAATCAGTTATGAATTCATTTGATGTCGTTTGAATGTATCTTCCTATGGTTGTTCAGGACTGTAATTAATCAGTCTGTTATAGGCATATGTTCATCCTGTGCGGACTGTTTTCATATTGTCTTAATTCACAAGCATTATAAGCAAAGATAGAAAGTGGCTAACAGTGGAATCCAGGACATGTAGTTCATCCTACTTAAGACTTGTCTGCTGGATGTACCTGTGACTGTTTGAACTTCGAAGGTAAGTGGATAACGTGATAGTGTTTGAAGCGAACGGTACTGGGTTTGAGTCCCAGTGTGAACACCAACTGTGAGATGAGGGTATATCCAGCTGACGAGTCTCAAATAGGACGAAACGCGCATTCTGGATTCCACTGTTAGCCATTTTCCATCTTTGCTTATAAATCAGCTATGAGTTTGTTAATCTACATGTAAGTGCGGTTATATTAATATTCAGAAGCGTTAAATGAAATGAAAATTTAACTAAGTTTTGATTTAGGACTTCGAAAAAAGAATCTTGAGAATTTTACCCGAAATAAAGAAACTGCGAAAATTCAATTGAAATTATGATTCAATCAATTACTAATGGAAATTTTATTATGCAATACTGATTTTGACATTGTGATAAGATTATTCGGTCTTCACTTAGTGGACTGTAGGTTCGAATTCTGCCTAATATATCATACTTTCTACAGATAAATTATATTAATAACCTAAACATTAAGTATGTTGTTCAGAGCGGAGAAAATAAACATGTGCTTATTATATAAATTTAATGAAAAGAACTTCGGTTATTCGGAAATTGAAATTATGCAGTTAAACCTAACAAACTGGTGACTTCTCAATGAGTAGAAAAATTAGATTTTCTAACGTTTCGTCATTTAGTGTAAGCCACTTCTTCAGAGAATAAATAACCAAATCAAGATTAATCCAAGTTTGGGATATTATGAATATATTACTTATTTATAAAAATCTACCCAATGCTCAATTGATTTGAAATTATCAAGTCAAACCTTGGTAATGATACGTACAAACTGGTGATTGTTTTTAGTTACTGAAAAGCACTTAACTTAGTTATATATAAACCAATTATCAATGAGAATAGTTATATGCTGCGCTTTGTATACTGTATATTGTATAATACGACAATGTCATTATGAATATTTTGGACAACTAGACTCAATACTAGACTCATGAGACACAGTTTTCGACGTCTTTCTTGAAAAGGTCATCAAGAAGGTATATCACTTTCTGGATAATAAAGTTGAATATAGATCTTCCAAATATTTACTTAATTAAATGAATCATATTTAGCAGTTCCACATAACAAACTGAATTTTATTTAATATCAGATGGGTTTTTGTGGAGATTGTAGTAATTTCAATGGTTAAGATCATGAGTCAGTTGAAGCTAGACCACCATGGAAAACCTGGAAGCACTGGACGGCCGTTTCGTCCTATTGTGGACTCCTCAGCAGTGCGCATCCACGACCTCGCCTCCTGCGAGATTCGAACCCAGGACCTACTGGTATCGCGTGCGAGGACTTAACCACAGACCAGGATGCCGACTTAGTGGTCTGGTGGTTAAGTGCTCGCACGCGATACCAGTAGGTCCTGGGTTCGAATCTCGCAGGAGGCGAGGTCGTGGATGCGCACTGCTGTGGAGTCCCACAATAGAACGAAACGGCCGTCCAGTGCTTCCAGGTTTTCCATGGTGGTCTAGCTTCAACTGACTAATGATCTTAACCAATCTTGCATTCATATTGTTGATGACCTATTGAAAGATGTACAATTTCAATTTGTTTCTATGGCATCTGTATCAATGACATTTAAACTATTTATTCTTTAGAAGATCCTTATGAATTGAAAATGCAATTGTAGTTAGCTTGTTTATTTAGGTTTTCCAATGGTTGAGATCATGAATCAATTGAATATAGACCACCATAGAAAACTTGGAAGCACTGGACGGCCGTTTCGTCCTATTATGAGACTCCTCAGCAGTGCGAATCCATGAGATTCGAATTCAGTTTTTATTGCTACTTAACACTGCAAAGATGATCTAAGTAATTATAACAGACAAAAAGTGATCAAATTTTGTTTCAAGTCGTTTTTCTTTCATGGATTTCTATCACCGAAAGAATTCGAATCCTGAGGAATGTATTTTATTATGAAGTAAATATGAAGTTATAACATCAAAGACATCAAATTCCATCGAATTCGATATGATATAAAGAAGTTCTTTAGTTTTTTGCTAAGATTTATGTTGATAACATAAGATATGATATTTTTCGTCCTTTCGCAGTTTGATATTTCTCTACTTTAAAGAAACAATAAATTTATCTGGACAGGCAACTGACTTTTCTCTCTTAATAAACAATACATTTCGTTCTTTTTTAATTTCCTTGAATAGTTTTGTTTATAAAGCTTCATTTAAACATCTCTATTCACTATTTAAAATGTAGATTCTATTCTGTCAACTGAAATATCTATTCCGAGTTATCTGTATCTATATTCATAATGAGAATCATTGAGTAGTAGTCACTGAGTAACGATCGATACCATCTTTACCTAATCCGAGTGTTAATCACATTTGGTTGGTCAATTTAGAGTTTGATCACTTGTTCAACGAGTTTTCATCAGCTAGAAACTAATATTTTGTGTTTCTGGTCGATTGCTGCCAACCAAACAGTGCACAGAATGTCTAGACACTTGTACTATTGATCATATTGGGATTTCATTTTATCGGCACTAGACGAGTCTAACAATGCTTACCATTAAATAATCAATCAGTTTTACAGATGATGAGTTTTTGACAACATCCAACTATCAAAATCTACTTCAACTGACTGGTTATCTTTTTAAAAAATGAACGTCAAGAAGGCAAGCTAACAGTTAACTAAAATAATTACCGAACAATCAATATTTCATATCAGAAAGGGTTTTGTGGATATTATAATAATCTCAATAGTTGAGATCATGAGTCATCTGAAGCTAGACAACCATGGAAAACCTGTAAACACTTGACAGCCGTCCCGTCCTATGGTGGGACTCCTTATCAGTGCGCATTTATGATCCCGCCTCTTGAAACCTGGACCTATCAGTCTTGCTGGCGATCGCTTAACTACTAAACCACTGAGCTGGCTGGCACCCAACAGTGTTAATGTCTAATCCAATCTCTGTTTTTGCTGGCTTTCTTAGTGTAAAGCTTTATTTCTTCAAATATTGTACTAAGATCATCTGGATACCAAGATTTATTCAATCTTTCTAATAAAAAAAACATAATCATGAATTAAACGATATTACACAATAGTATTATATTACTTACTTGTGTAAATGCATATCCTTTTGGTTCTTTATAAGATAAAAAAATTTTAGTTCTATTTAAATTTGTTGAATTTGGAAAAATAAAACGTGGTGAATTATCATTTTGATCTAAGATTTGTATACGTATTTGAATAGTTTCAGATAATTTCGGTATCCCTTTATCTTGTGCATGTACAATCAATATAATCATTGGTGTTAACATAGAATAATTTGTTTTATTAGTTAATTGTGATAATCTTTCATAATTATGATTGACATATTCAAATGTTTCATAAGTGGATAAAGCTTTAGATATATAATTAGTACTTTTTATAATAAGATTTTCACGATCTATTACAGATTCTATATATAATTTAACTTCATATGATGTTTCATTTGTTGTCAAGGCATTATAATAATTTCTATGTAATAGATATGAATTCAATCTAAATTTTGATATGAATTCAATGTATTTCCTTTGTCGTAGACCAGATGAAAGTAAAAGACCTCTTGAATTAAATCTTAATTGTTCAATATCATTAAGTATATTCAAATTATTACTTAGTGATGTTAAATACATATTAGGTCGTTCAAGATTCTCTTCAATATAAATATCTAATTCAGCATTTTTACCTAAATCTTTATCTGTAACATAAAATGTACCAATTAATTGTCCAATTGCATTATTTTCTTTAATATTAAATTGTAAATAAGGTTGAGAATAAACAGGTGAATTATCATTATAATCTAAAACTTTTACATGAATTAAAATCTTAATAGTTCTTATTGGTTCACCATAATCGGAACAGATAATAGTTACGGTGAATTCATTTAATTTTTCACGATCTAAATTTCCTAAAGTACTTACTGTACCTGAATTTGAATCAATTGTGATAATATTTAATAGAAAAGTTGGAGTTTCATGATCAAGACTAAAACGTAATTTAGCATTTTGACCTTCATCTTTATCAGTGGCATGAATAGTTATAATTTCAAAGTTTGATTTACTTCTTTCTGGATCGGAATCTTCAATAATTTCAACATTGTAAACATTCTGTTCACAAATTGGATCATGATCATTGATATCAATAATTTTTATACGTTGTGTAAGGGTGGTTGTTAGCGAAGGAATTCCACCATCATGACATAAAATAGTAAAATCTATGACATCATTTTCTTCTCTGTCTATTCGCTTTTCCATTGTTATTTTATATTTATGATTGGAGCTTGTCAAACCTAGGTGAACACCTTCAATGTTGATAGGAATTAGACGCAGCACATCTGACATAGTTTGATTAATTATTTTACAATTAACAAAAGCATTAGTTCCTGTATCTCCATCTGAAACTTCCACAATTCCTATATCTTGCCCAGGTGGTGATTCTTCGATTATTTCCAAATCTTTTGAACCAGTAGGAGATAGGACTCGAACACGAGGAAAATGATCATTTACATCTATTACATTTACAATAATCTGTGTTACCGATAATTCTGAAATAATCTGAGAAGATTTTAAATGTCCTAATGTAGTATTATCAGGATTTTTGGCAAATACTTTTAAAATATGTTGCGGTTTTTGTCGATAATCTAGACGATTACGTAATCTAATTTCACCGGTATCCGAATCAATATAGAAAAATTTCTCCTCATCTATATCATCTGTGTATGAACTGAAACTATAAATAATCCTACCATTTTCATGTTCATCCTCATCAATGGCTTTCAATTTTAAAATTATTTGATCTATTGATGTATCTTCACTTACATTTACAATATACATAGATTGTTCAAATATTGGCATATGATCATTACAATCTTCTACAAGTATGGTTACATTCAGATAACATTGATGATCACCTGATAAGTGACCATCATCGGCTACAATTTGAAAGGAATAACTTCGTTGTTTTTCATAATCTAACTTTTGAATTAATTCTAATTCTAAATATATATTAGATATTGTAACATTGTTCGATAATGAAAGACTATGTAATTTAAAGTAATTTAATATATTTTGTTTATTATTTATTATATTCGAATCATTCTTGATCCAAATACGATCTGGTTTCACAGAATTCCCACTGAACATATCATCTGGATCATATGGTATATTCAATGTAAAACGTGTATCATTAATTAATGAATCTTCACGAATTTTAATCATTTGTTGATTGGATGGAATAAATTGACAACCATTATCATTGATATCTTTCAATTCAATAATAACATCAAATATAGTTATTAATTTATTACTAACAGGCGGTTTATATTTTATATGATTTGATATATTTAATAATGGTGTTGTATTTAAACAATTCACACTAAAATATAATTCACATTTAGTTAATATTGGATAATTGATTATTGATTGTTTCATTGATTGTTCATAGAATTTTTGTTCTTTATTTAATTGATTATTTATAAAACATAATTTTTCTCTATCTAATCTATATAGATTACTTATATCACCAGTATATTCATCAACATGAAATAATTTAGAAGAATCATCATGATTAGATAGTTTAACAAAACGTAAATTATTTAAACTACCATTTACATGATTTAATAAATTTCCAATAAAGGTATTAATTTTTAATTCTTCATGAATATGAAATCGTATAATCCGTGTATCATTCAATGTTATAAAACATATAATTAATATAAATTGTAATTGTTGATGAATTATATATACCAATTCCATTCAAAGAACCAAATATTTAACATAACGTATATTACAATACAATTAAAACTATACAAATCATATTAGACAGGATATTCTATGTAATTAAAATTCATTATTCAATGGATATGGAAAAATTTAATAGTGAGAAAAAAAATTGATAACCAACTTTTAATGAAAACTATTTTGTTTCGTTTTTTTTAAAAAAAAATTTTTATTTTACTTCAACAATGATGTGATCGTGAAGAATTTCTGATGATTGTCATTTATTTAGTTGAAATGAATCTGATTGGTTCATTTATTTTTATCCAATCATTTCCCTTTAAATTTGTTGTTGTTAGTGGTGTTGTTGCTTATTCACTTAGAAACAGTCAGTATAACCATAATTTCTTTGATTATGTTATTTAAAATAATAAAAAGGATTAAATTCTATTTATTAAGGAAGAGATAAATTTGAAATGTTTTTTTTTATTCCGGGTTAATTGATTTGAATTCTCTATAGTTTTCTACGAAATAATATTAGTATTCTATTAAAATGAGCTTTGAAAATATGAATTCACTATATACAGATCATCAAATTGAGGTAGCGACAAAACAAAACGGCCCTAATTTTCGGTTGATGTTAGCTTTCAAAAAAATAATAATGATAATACATTTGTTCACTCAAATGACTTGTTTTATTGTATTGATGAAAGTCTGTAAAGTATGTAAACATAACTTTAGAAAAAAAATTATTTGTCTACTGTTGATCAGGGTTTTTAATAAAATTAAGTATGAATGAATGAGCTATTCGGTTAGTCTGTTGTTGAGATGAAATATAAGAGTACATGAATGAAAAAATAATTCAGAATTTGATCTTTGTTGAGAGGCTGAACGATGATACTTCGAAGTTGAAAGGAGAAAGTTATAAATAGACTGATATTCTGGATCACTTTTAAATAATTAGGTATCGAGTAACGAATTCTTTTTAACATAACAATATTGTTTGAGGCATATAAAAGATGGCAGAGAAAACAAACATATATTTGTATTCACGATTAGTGTAATAACGAGTTTCACCCACGAAAGTAAAACATTATTAAGAAACTACTACTTCAACTATAAAGATTTGTTGCTAAGGATTCTAGCTCATTAATAATCTTGTATTCTACTGCTGACAACTGTCATTAAATAACGCAATCCAAATACTCTGCTCAGGATGCACAATTTATACATGATACTGGTCATCTACAGTCATTAAATTCAACAACAGACGTCTAACTGAACAGACTTAATTGAAAACATGTCACCTTATAAGCGATATGTGGATATCTCAGTTGTCTGTGAAACAAAGGAGGATATGAACGGTTTATTGCACAAACTTAACACTCTCCAAAACCACATTAGTCTCTCATACGAAGAGGAGAATAACGGCCAGTTTCCCTTCCTATACATACTTTTTTAAGTAGACGAGAAGATGGTTCAATCAAACGATCCATTTATAGAGAACTAACGCGGACAAGCCAATATTTTGATGATTATAGTTATTGCCCTGTGCAATGTAAACGTGGTTTGATGAGCTGTCTGTTTAACAGGCTTGATCGTATTTGCAAAAATAACGCTATTGATGGTGATGTTAGGTTTTTGAACAAACATCAATAGAAAATGATAATTTCGAATAAATTGAACATTGGGTTGATTGTTATAAATAAAAATAATATATTTGTAATATCCCAATGAGTAGAAAATTGGATTTTCTGACGTTCCGTGGCTTAGTGTAAGTCACTTCTTCAGAGAATAAATAACCAAATTAAAATTAATCCAAGTTTAAATAGTACAACGGAACAATGCCATTGGCATTAAACCAGTCGTGTTCTCGTGATAAACGTGAGTCACTACAGACGTATCACACAGTAAAGGCTATTATCGAGGAAAGAATAAGGTCCATACTTCATCGAAAACCTAGATGTCATGAAAACGATTGGGCCACATCCTACTGTGTTTATCAATTTCAAAGTGTGTGGCCACACAACGTGTAATTAAATGGTTGCAGAAACATAAACTCAGACGACCCAAAAGAGTAGAGTATAAGTATCCATCATCCTCTATTGTCAAACACATAGTTCAAACAGATCATAAGATGGATCTTAACCCGGCTTTTGTTGTGGTGTACAAAAGCGCAAAAGAGCGTATTCTAAGGTTTATTGAAGCCTTGGTCATATGAAAATTCAAACCCTCCTTGTGTATTCAAAAACAGTTTGTTTTTACCTTAAACCTACACTGATAACATTAGCTTATTATCCAGAGTAGTGAGGTTTCAAATTGTTTTCATATTATTTCCTTATTATCCTTGTCTCCTCTTACCATCCATTTCTAGTCTAGTTGACCTATTATTTTTATACATGAATGTTCTTAACAAGTGTCTGTGTGATCAGATTGTTCGAAATGTAATGCACTAATATATCAAATAGTTTTGATAATCATCGTCTTCATATTACACTATCGAAATTTCACAAATAAAATAAAAACTTATACTCGTAAACTAAGTGATCTCATTAGCTTAGCGAATAAGGTGTAGGATGTTTGGAGAGGTGAACAGATAGATAAGTGGACCACACATGGTTTATTTTATTCAATATTGACTGTATGACACAAATCGTTTAATTGATTTGAGTCCAATAGACGTTTTCTAAAGAGATTGTAAATTTCGCTCTGTACGAATTATTGGAATGTTTTAAACATATACCTTATATGTTGTTTTTCATTTAGTTAGCACACACATTTTTTCCTTAATTTGGTCAAACACGAAATGTCCATTATGTTAATTTCAATAGTGTTTTCAACTTTTCTACCTAAATTTATGAAAAGCTAAGTGGCAAAATTTTTGAATAATTGGAGTGTAATTGTTTTTCCTTAAACAGTATTTTGAAGACTTGAAAGTTGCCATTTGACAAATAACAATTAAATTAGCCCTTCAGTCATATAGTTGAGTCTTTTCAACAATTCATGTCTAAATATTTTCAAGTCTGTTGAATTTTTCATGCACGAAGCTCACAGTAGGCGATGTTGTCTATTTATGACACGTTTACAAACATTAACACAAGTTGGTTCTAAACTATAATCTGTCTAATAATACGTATTAGTCTTCTAGGTCATTGTTTGACGTTTACACACTTATGATGTACTAAAGCATGTCTTTTGTTGGGATAAACTAAATTAGGACAAGGTCACTTAACGAATGAGGTTAATGTTGTTAATCGTGATGCCAATATTTAGCCTTTTCATAAGACATTACGATATAAATAGCCATTAGTTGAGTAAGATTTGATGAAATTTTACGGGTTATTAGGCAACTTTGGTCTGTGAGATGTGGAAGAATCAATCAGTCTGAAAATATATGTGTGTACTGATGACGAAACGATTTCAATGAGAGGAATACTGATAAACACGAAGCTGTAGGCAGCTATTACAGCCTATCTTTTCTAAAAAATAATTATATACGCATATAGAGAGAAATAGTGATGAAGAAATTTCCTTTACATTTGATCGAATAGTTTCACAGTATTTGGGCACCGAGTTGATGTGAGACATTAAAGAGGAAGAGTGTATTTGTAAGATCTCAGCGAATGAATTTGAAGTAATTCCTTAAAAAAAACTTGGACCAGATTACTAGGCAAAACGTTGGATTTACTTCGAATTCATTCGCTGAGATTTTATGAATAAGTAATATCGAATTATTTAAAAAGGAGAAAAAACAACAACAATATTTTCTGATTATTCATCTAAGTTTTACATAAATGAATTGATATGTAGACGAGAATGATAATGATTGTTCGTTTGCTTGATCCGACTTGTAGATAGTCTGACAAGTGTCAGATGAGTTATTTATTCGCCTATCCTTATAATTATTAACTCCGACTGGAGCCACTCCGGAGGCTACTGCCGGTCCCAAGTCCAGGTAAAGGAGGAGGGTTGGACATGGTGTTAGCGAGCCCATTTCGTAGAAAATTAACTCACTAAAGACACGCTAACCAAAAAAGTAACTCAAACCATTTAAACTCTACCCTGGAAGTTAGTTCTTTATTTAAAAAAGTTATAACTCCTCATGGTGAAAACCGAGTTCCTTAGGAAGTCACGAGGCTGATGCCTCAGAGCAACCATTAATTTAGTAAATTGAATGCTCGTACAGTGTGAGACCGGGAGATTTTCCCAAACGGCTACGGAATTGTTTATTACTATTGATTGTTGATGGTTGTTGGATTGTGTCGGCTTGTTGTTGGTTTTTGGTGTGGGAATATATTTACATTCTAATCAGGCTAATCACGTGTCGTTGATCTGGGTCCTGTAGAATGAACACTGGGAAGGAATCGAGTGTAGATATTCATCTAAGGTAAATTAACGTCCATTCATATATACAAAAAAAAAACCCGAGCATTATAACATGAATACAGTTCACTTTAAAATTTAGTAACGATTCAGTAATAGATAATGTTTATCTCTGAAATTAAATTACTATCCATAAGTGAACTGAAACGGTAATATACACGTATATCTATATCCTGTTGATTAAATTCGATTACTTAGCTTTAATAACAAACAAGTAAATACAACATATTATAAACCATTATAAATTTCATATTTGTTATTTAGACATTTAATGAGAGAAACCTATAAACGTTTGATCATAGAAAATCCTATAACAAGGTGAAACTAATTCAGTTTGATCTGAATTAAATTTATTAAATAATCAATAAATAAAATTTTCTGGTGACATTCAATTTGACAGAAATCAATAGTGGAACTTTAATTGGCGGTGGCTCAATTTTATGGATTGGTTGAAGTTAGACATTAACACCGTTGGATGCCGATCAGCATAGTGGTCTAGAGGTTAAGCGTTCGCGCGCGAGACCGATAGATCCTGGGTTAGAATCCTGTGTGGCTGAATCGTAGATGCACACTACTGAGAAGTTTCATACTAGGATGAAACGGTTATCCAGTGCTTAAAGGATTTCCATGGTGATCTAACTTCAATTGACTCATGAATTCAACTATTAATTTATTATAATAACTATAAAAATCCCTTCTGATAAAAATCATCACGATTTATTTCATACATTTCAACATTTAACAAATGTTTACTAAACATTTTATCATTGTATTTTTACTTTGTACAACTACTGAAAGAGATCAGCCATACTGATGCTTTATATCTGTACACAAATGCTGATTAGATGTTGTGTACAAAGATTTTGTAAAGGCTAACCTTACTTAATTACTTACTTACGCATATTACTCCAAATGGAGCAAAGGTCGCTGACCAGCATTCTCCAACACACTCTATCCTGATCCTTCCTTTCCAGTTCTATGAAATTGTTATTCATTCTTCTCATGTCTG